AGCAGAGCGAGAGGGTCAAACACGCACACGTAGACGCCAGCGTTAAAGCGTCGCCATCGTTTCTCGGACAGCCAGGGGGCCTTTCACAGGAGAAGCTCGAAACTTAAACCAGTAGCTGGTAATAGCATTGGCCAGACACGCGGCGCACTTACTTCAAAATGTAACAGTAACAGCTGAGATAAGTGAAGCAACGCTTAAGCTCAAGTGTGTGTTACAGAAGCAAAGACACCTGATTGTTCTCGTGGCACGAAATTGTCACAGATCGTGGATAATGCGCATTATCCACGATCTGTGGATCTGGCATGATCTGTAACCATGGTTACTGTTGTTACAGCCTTAGATGCTAAGGGCTCGGGTTTAAGCTCGGGAAGAGAGCGGGATCACAGAGGGCTTCTAGCATCATCCCAAGCAAGAGCGATTGCAGCAGAAAGAGCATCCGGTGTAAAATCTGCACCAAATCAAGCATGCAGATCCATCCGCTGCGGCGTCCCTCGGGAAATAAAGCCACATGAAGCCGAAAGCTTCATTGTTAAAGAGCTGAGAACGAGCTTATTAAGTGTTCGACCACTGCCAAGTCCCCTGATGGCCTTACATGTAGCCCAGTTTTGTTTTTGTTATTAATCATTATGGATTTTATTGCCCGAACGAAACGACCGTTTACCTGCCGCTGGATGGAAAACCACCAAATCTGGCAACACTGCCGTCAGTAATCACAGGAATTCTGTTATTTTGGATGGGAGGCGAAACATCTTCATCAACATAAAGAATCCGAGTCGCCTAATTTTCAACCATTACTCAAGACTAACATGGTCCGGAGAACCAATGCAATCATATTAAGACAAGATGCAAAGACATGATCCATCGGTTTTAAAACTGACGGGACTCACTGAGCTCACTGAAATCTAAAAGTGCTCCACGGTTTACGTTCCAGAGAGCAGGTTTAGTGAAAACTGGAGTGAAAACTCTGGATTTGATGTTTTAGAGACGGGATTAATCTAAACATCGGGTCAGTTACCGGGGCAACAGACTCTCTATAAGTAATCTGCTCACTGACAGATTTCCTTTAAACAACTTTTAAGGTTTTCTCATTCGTGCAGTCAGTCTTAAAGCACCAAGGGGGACAGAAGCTGGTCCTTACAAACAGTCCAATCCCATTTATATGTTAGCTTGTTGTTTATGATGGCTAACGTGGCTGCTTTCATAATAAATCTGTCATCAGTGTAACAGCAGAGTCAGCGACCACGGCATACCACGGATTTATTACCGGCTCTGCTCTATAGGATACATCCTTCTAGCTCTGTGGGCAGTCAGGAATCTGTCAGGTTGTCCATGAGATGCCCTGCACTGATGCCTGACAGTGCGCACTACTGTAGTAATCACTTTCATTAGCTTTCACGTTGGAGATGACAGGAAGATTTCAGCATCTTCAGCGACTTTCAGGTTCTGAAAGCATTTTAAAATAAGTTTGAGAATCAGGACACATCCGGAGTATCTGGATGAATTCAATTGAATTGAATTCAATAGATGTCTACAGATAATTTATTTTCTACTGTAATTGTGCCAAACGCAGATATATTTTGGTTGGATTCAGTTTAAGTAAAGAATGACTGAGTGGACAATGCTGACTTTGTTTTTCATTTACTTTTATGCTAAATGCCGTAGCCCACAGTCAAACCCATTATTGGCTGATGAGCGCTGCACTGATAACGGCTTAGTTTCCTCACACTCAGAGTTGATTTGAAGCAACTCCGATCAGCTTGTTCTGGAGCCGAAAACCTAGAATTTGTTGAACCTGCTTTCTGGAACAGGACCGAGCTGATCAGCTGTACCTCTGCTTATGTTACTGTGATCTCCAGCCTGCAAACTTCAATCTGCTTTTAAACGTTTGGTTTTTATATCAGTTTGCAGGCTTGTTAAAGGAAGCTACCCCAGCCACAGTCACATTCATAAAAAATAAAACTTTGGTAATTAATGTAAAGAAAAGCAACGCATGTACATTTGCTGCAGTTAACAGGGCACGTTCACGCACTAATTAGAGGTCGGGGATAACCGAGGGTCCTAACTCTGAGCTCGTTAAAAATGTGGCACAAGTTCAACCATGAAAAACATTCCAAACATTATAAAACACATCGACAATCAGATGCTCCAACTAGTCTGACTAGTATAAACAACAATGTAAAAGGACTTAACAACTACAACAGAGTCATAATGCACATCAAATATTACAAAGGAACTTCACAGACTTAGAAATGTTTGAATCAAAATTTCCCTTTTTGTGTACAAGTACAAGATTTTGTGTAATAAATGCACTTTTCCTGCAAGTGCCTCCAGGGTTGTGATTGCACACTGATGTTATTACAACTAAAAAATATTAAAAATTAAAAAAAAAACAAGGAGAGAGAGAGATGGTGTATAAAAAGAATCAACAAGCTGAAACCAGTTGATTTGTTCTGATATGCTGTGATATGCGTGCAGAGTCCTTCCTCAGGTTTGTGTTTGTTAGTCTTTTGATTGGCTTTGTCTTCTCCCTGTTGATCCTAGTGTAGGTGTGCAAACAGTCGTCGGTAGCCTATTTTATGCTGCGTCTTCTAAACAAATTCAGGAAATAAAAGAAGAATCTACAGAAAAGTAAACAACAGATATTAAAAAAAGTCCGTTTAAAAAACAGAAGAGGATAATCCCCGGGCAGTGCGGTCTTATCTCGCCGGTTATGTGCAGAAGGATTCCCTTGATGTCTGTCCATCTGTCTGACTGTGTGGCTGTTTGTCTGGGTGGCATTAGCTCTCTCCTCACCTGCAGCGATATTATACTATACTTGTGCTTCAGCGGGTCTATCTCTGTGTGTGTTTCTACATTATAGGTGTGTGTGTGTTGTTTCCATACTTATAAAGACCAACTGTACTTACAAGGACGTAAAGATGAGGTAAGTTTCCCAGAGGTGAGGACAGTGACTGATGGTCCTCACTGCTTTAAAGGTTTCGAGACTGAAGGGTAGGCCTGCGCGTTAACACTACGAGGGAGGAGCTTTGAGGTCAGGCGTTAGCGAACGAGGTCTTTATAAGTACAGTGTCGTAAAGTGTGTGTTTGTGTGCGTGCGTGTGCCGATGCTGTGGACTCAGCTGAAGGCCTCATCGTCAGTATCTTCAATTAGCACCTTGGTGTCCTTCTTCGATCTGAAATAAAGACGATTAAAAAAAATCAGACGTTATCTGACAAAACCGAGACTTCATTTCACGTTGCGTTACTTATACATTACTAACTATTTAAAACAACTGCATGGACTGCTTTTTCATGCACTCAGTTCAGTATTGTCTTCACACAAGTCCAGACACTATATGGGCAGCAGCACCGGGCCACCTGCAGGAGCCATGCAAACCATGCCATGAAGCTCCCGGTGCACAGTTACTGTGCTGATGTTAATGGAGGTTTGTGTAACACTGTGTAACACTTTGTGACTTTAATTCAGACAAAGGCATATACAGCATTTTACAAATTTATCAGACCACCTGTCATAAAAAGAAGAAAACACACAGTAATATTTTTTAAATCATATTTTACTTCTCTGAGAAGTTGGAAATTAATCAAGAATGACACTCAGCCGCTAAAACTACTTTTGTGTTCAGGAATGAAAGTAAATCAGTGTCATTTTACATATTCATAAAAAAAAGTTTTTTGTAAAACAGCAATAATTATATTTTAGCATTAAAATGTAAAATTTCTGCACATACGATTGGATTTTTGGTATCTCTTCATAGCTCAAACACCAGGATGTGGGAAAAGTTAAGTTCAGATCCTGGGTTTCCTTGATTGCTCAACATAAGGGACCTCAGCTGTACAGCCTCTAATGCAACATCTGGATACTTCCTCTACTGAAGGAACAACTGTTTTTTTTTTTTTTTTCAATTTCAAATGGGTGTAGTATCTTTGAACACATTTAATTAATGAAAAAATGTTCAGTGTGACAGTTTTATAATCTCCAGGAGCAACGACGAGGAAGTATAACTTCTTTCATCTACAGTAATACCAGCTCTGCACTCGTCTTCAACGTGAAATAAAAGTGCAAGATGTCAGGCACACACGTGGTTTCTTACTGTGAGGTGGACAGCAGGGGGCGTCGGAGCGACAGGCTGTGGGACCTCTTCCAGGTCTTCTTGCCCGAGCGGTTCCGGACTCCGTCCTCCTGGTCCATCATCTGTTCCAGCAGCGTCTGGTCGTCAGCGTTGAGCGGCGCCACAGAGATATCCCGGACCGCACGAAACTCACCGCAGTTGTTCAGGTGCTCGTTCTCCAGACGGAAGAAGTTCCACACAAAGCGCCTGCAGTGAGGAAGGTGAGGAGGACGACACGAGTCACCGTGGGTGCTCTGCGAAGCTCGTCGTAAGGAACAAACTTTGTTCAGACCCACCTGAAGACCTCAAGAGGAGCCAGCATGGTGGCCAAGATGTCGCCCACAGAGTTGATCTTGGTCGTTGTGATCAGAGAAATCTGGATCGTCCAAGCAAAACGCAGGATCACATCTTCCACAATAGCACAGTAGTAGTAGGCCTGGACACAGAGCAGACGGGGTTAGTGTCTGTTTGGGTGGGACGGGCACGGGGATTAAACCAGACGCTACCTTATGCGGATAAACGATTTCTTCTCTGAGGAAGATGTTTTCGCCAGCTCCACGATCAAACAGACCCCAGTCCATACGCAGATCCCAGATCAGTGTGTACAGGGAGCTGATGATTGAAGACACAATCAGAAGGTAGAAGAAGGTGTTGGCGTCTGCGTGACTTTGCTCTGAAAGAAAACACACGAACACAACTTGTGTCAGAGGCTTGCATTCAAGAACTCCTCTGGTTTTAGCTGCAGTAAAGAGAAATGCAACAGCATCAGCACACTCAGAGCAGGGTCGCAACTTTTCTATTATCACTTTTACCACTAGAGGGAGCCCTCCTGCCACGAGTAGACCAGCATTGATTGATTGAACAGATACCCTTAGAGAGCTATAACACTTTAGTGTTCACTTTTCATTATGCCTGCACTAAAATCTACACACTTGCAGCCCACAGCATAAAAGCAGAGTGTGAAAAGGTGTTTTTCATTGTCTTTAATCGGAACAGTTTCATATGCAAATAATCAGCGCCAGTTAGAGCGCCACCTAGTGGGAACAGGAAAGATCAAGTTTTGTCCTCTTCACAGGTTCATTACATGCACCCCAAAGGTCGTCTGCATTAACTTCAGGCCCTGGTGATGCCTTGCTGTGAAAACTGAGTTTTTATTTAAGACCACGCCCTGTTGGCATGGTGATTTGCCGTTAACGGGTAAGCTGCAGATGAGGAGCTGGGAAAGCTTCAAAAGTCACGCCTCGAACGCGATGAAGGCTGTCATGTTTCATTGGTTTTTTCCCTGGGTGTGGGAAAATGGCTCTATAGCGCCACCTGTTTAAATAGTAGTTTTAGGGACTCCTGAAAATGTACATAGCATGTCTCTCTGCACTTTTTACGGGTCAGTTGTGTCAGAGGTCAAGGGGAGCCGAAAACTTTAAATGTACTTATGTGGTACATGTAGTTTCGACTTTCGCTGCCATGAGGCCAGCTCTCTATTGGACAAGAAATGTTTAATCTCAATGAGATTTTTTACCTGGATAAATAAAGGACCAACATTTGCCCAGGTTCCTGCAGAGACGGGCACCTACTGGGCAGAGACAGACCCACAGAGGTCTTTGGGCTGTGCCTGAGAGAACTCATGCAGACACATGGCACTTTTAACCTTCACACACTCACACTCGGATGGATACAGCAAAGAGCACTTATGGGATGCAGCATCCTACCCAAGGATACTTCCCCATGTAGGTTGGAGGGTTGAACCAGTGACTTTTTACTAAAGGAAGCCGAGACCTTCTTGCTGTAAGGTGATAATGCTAAATAAAGCAGGACCTGATGTTATGACAGTAGATTTTATTTCTCTAAAAAACAAAAATAAGTCCTAACCCCCCCCCCCCACTCTGCCTTCTGAGACATGAATGAAGGATTAATCGTGATAATTATTATTAGTTCAAGTGCTCTCAGCTGTGGGCTGTACAACAATCTGCAGTTAGTTTACAGCTGATTGATGTACTGCGTAATGTCACAGTGTTTTTATAGCTGTGCTCAGCAGCGCCCGCGTGTCTCTGTGGGAGCCGTGCGGATGTGATTTTCTTGTTCCTCAGTGGGCGCCGATGTATAAATCAGCACCCGATGGCCTTTCACATCGACTCGCACAGACGGCAACCACCAGGCAGAGATCGGGCTCGCTCTCATTTGTCATAGTCACTGTTCTACGTGCCTCCAGCCTACGAGACGCCAGGGATCAGAGCCGGGACAACAGAGAATTACTGCTGTTCTGTTAGCCGCTGCCTCCATTGTGCCGTTTGCTGCATCAGCTGAGCGACGGGATGGAACCGGTCCCTACGGCCACACCGAGGTCTCCCAGCTGTAGATTAGACTTAGTCCCAGACAACAGACTCTTTTCACTGGAGAATATCCACCGATGTGATTTCCTTTAGCTTTAACGTACTGAGGTATTTAATCCTCCACTCGCTGATGCTGTCTTTCCACAAGGATGGGTCACTGTTGGGCCAACCGGAGGTCAACCATGGTGGGATGGGCATTGATTGAACTGGTCAGGATGGGCTAATGGTGCTTACTGGCTCCTGTCACACACACTCAACCTCTATTTTCTTTTCAAACACACACACTGTTGTTGTCTTGGCCAGTCGTGCTGATAAAGACAGAGCACATCTTTTGAAACAGGTCAACAGGACTTGAAAACAACAAGAATGGCTGCTGTTGAATTATTTTTCAGCTTTTCCTTTTCACTGAATCTAGCACTCGTCCTCACAGCGCGGTTTGTTCTTCATTCTCTTACTTTAGTTCATTTTCACTTTGTGTCCCATGTTTTTGGCTTAGTTAGCAGTTACAAACACAGATGCGCATGAAGGAATTTTTGATGCAGGCCAAGAATTCCACACCGAGCGAACTGTGAGGGTGTGAAACATGAAGGTAGGCAGAAGGTTAACGTGGAAGTAGACAGCTCCCCCCACACTTCCCCTCCCACGGCGCTGTCACAAAGGCCAGATAACCTTAGATATTGAAACACCATCCAATTCTTCATCTTTCAGTTATTCCCTTTTGGAGCTTCCCACCCCGTCCGTTGCAAGGATGCACACCAACCCTCCTCTTTTCCTCCTGCCTGATGCATCCACCGTCCCTTCGACTGTATTGCGGTGATTAGAACTTTTGAACTTTCTCCAGAGCTCTCCTCCTCAATCCTATCCCACTGTCCTCATGTGTCACTCAGCTCGTTCAACTATTTCTTTTTCTCTGATAAAAGCGTTTCAACATTTACATCTTAGAATCATATTTCTCTGTCGTGTCCTCGCCTCCCTCTGGTGTCCTTACTTTCGTGCTACCTGCTGTTCTTCCAACACCCAGAGTAACGTCTGGTGTCTGACAGTCCACAGCATCATAATTATGCAGGTGATACATTTATTTCATAATAAAGGTGAAAGCAAATAACTTTGCAAACAGCGTATCATCAGCGTTTAAATGGTTGGATATTGTTCCACCTGAAACACTTGACTACATTAGCTGGTCATCACCTTGCATGTGTTTTCAGTGGGGCCGATTTCCCCTTTTGGTTTTACTATTAAGAGCCACTGTCATTTATTGCAGCCCTCACTTGTCCAGCATCACCAGGAAGAAGCTTAAAAAGACGAACAGAGACCCAAAAGTACTGGTGCAAAGAGATAACATGATATTTAAAATGAGAGAAAAGTCCAACAATGATATTTTTTTCTTTAATACCTCACAAGATCTGATTTATCTTGTGCCCTGCTGGAGAGACTTGCAGCCTCACTTTATGAATAAACCATGTAAATGTCATTCGATCAGCTACAACAGCACAATGCAAAGTGTTAATGCATAAGTACAAACAACCTAATACTTCTGTAGTATTATAGTATTACATGATAACAAATACAGCCCCAGCATCAGTTTTAGGTGCTTCTAGTTTGAATATTTTACAGACATTTTCTGATAATGCCTTTGTGTTCAAAGCAGGGTTTAAACGCTATTTTTACCCTGTTGTCTCAGTGCTTTCAGATAAATCAAGAGTGTTTATTCAGCTCAGACTTCTCCCAACCTAATATGATACTTACAGCTTTATTTGAATTATTTTACCTGTTAGCTCCATCTCAACATGTGCACTTTATCAGATTTCCACCTTGTGTCTGAATCGAGATGTGCTTCACTGATAATAACAAGAGTCTGCTTTTGGGGTTTGCAGGGGTGAATCAGAGTTCAAACAGATGGCGAGAGAGACTCAAAGCAGAGCTTTTATCTGTTTTCGGTAAACGTGAGTACGTGTTTGACTAGAGCCGTGTCGGTGTGTGTGCTGTGATTCCTGTCCTGATAATGAACGAGGGGTCAGTACATGAAATTAAGTTGTAAAAGCTGTCAGTTCAGCCTCATCTCTATTCCAGCAGAGTCCAGCAGGCATGCGTTCAGCCCGGGGCTGGTAATTACACTCCTCTCCTCTCCTCCATTACTTCCGGTTTGATATCTTTTAAATATTAGTATCTCCTCCCTTTCATGTCCTCACTTGCCCCTGCTGCACCCTTGCTTTCTCTCCAACCTCTTCGCATTAAATTTCCCATTTTACTTTCCTCTCAGCGGCTATCGCTTCTAAATTTAGGGATTCTTCTCTACAGCCGTCTCAGTCCGTTTCCACCCGTCACCACCACAGTTACCTCACACAGACCAGCAGGAGTCGTGTTCCTCAAGGTTATTTTAGATGTTTTACAGGATTTGGTGTTACAGATGGAGGGATCTCTTTAAAACCATGCCTGCAGTGACTCTACACTGCACTTTGTGGTTTACCTTTAACATCACATTTTCCCGTCTCCCTGCTAGCACAGGGCTGCGTTTCTCTTTCTGCCCGTCAAACATCGTTTTCTTCTGCCTTTGCCTTCCCTCTGGATAGATCCCAAGAATTTAAATTAGCATTAGGCCTGCAGCTCCTCTGCATCTCAAACAGTGATAAGTCTCAGGCTGCTGTACATAAAGCAGATTCCGTATTGATCCCGAGAAAAGCAGCTGCTTTACTGTCAGGCCTCAGTGCAGCTACACAGTTTGGGAACTCTGCCCACACCAGGAAATCCTCCAGCATCTCTCAGGTTACAGGCCTCAGAGCCTCTGCTGAGATTACAGTTTCATGACAATGTCCAATCAGCTGCTCGCAGCAGTGAGCTGAGCGTTTCCTCTGAGGGGAGAAATCTGCTCAGTTTTGCTGAATCACATTAAAAATATGATTCAACACACACAGATTACTTACTTAATTTCCACTTTGGCCCATACAGACCACAGAGGAGACTGTGCCTCTTAATTTTACAGATTTTGATCAGCAAATGGAAGCACGAGCCAATGGACACCACTCAGTCCTCTATGGAGAATCCTGTGATTTATTTCCTTCATTTTGCTTCCCGGAGGTCTGTGTGGGCAGTTCCAGGAATCGGCGAGGTGATGTGGCAGCGAGGTCACAATGGAAGCGTTAGTGATGAAGGTGACACATCCACTCGCAGGCGCTGGGACCTTTGCCAGATACCGACTGACACTCCAGACAGCTTTTACAGCTGGACCGAGTGGTGTGAACATGATACCAACCTGCTGTCTTTGCTGTCAGGTCTGCTGGGCGATGCAGGCAGACTTGGCACCGTCCTGTCCGCAGTAAGGCTCCAGCGAATATCAGCGCTAAAGGCTCCTTCGTACATCGACTCTGTATTTTTAGTGTGTCTGAGGCTCTTATTGCTTCTTTACCAGATTTGGATTCAGGTTATTCTGATATTGGCAGCCGCATTCAGCCATCAAAGCCTATTTATGTAGGAAATACTCAAAAGATCTGCTCAACAGGCAGTTTCCTCAACCATTTATTCAACGTCCGTGTCTGTGGAGCCGTCTTCCCACCCTCCTCCTTCACTTAACCAGCGATCAGCCTTGGCCTCCATTATCATGCTGGATGAAAGACAGCTTCATACAGAATAACACATGAAGGGAGGCCATTAGTCTAAGGGTACACAGGCTTCAGACCAGAGGAGGAAGGAGGATATGGTTTAATGGACGCCTTTCCTACTGAGATGGAAGAAAAAAAAGAAAAAGAGGTCTGTCTGTCCTTCTGGTTCATCCAGTATCACTGACGGTCAGCTTAGGAAGCAAATGCACTGATTTAAATTTAAATCGAAGAGAAAAAAGCCAAACCGAGAAATAGCATTCAATGATTTAAAAGGTTGCAGATGAAGTTTCCTTGCTGGCATTTTGCTGGAAAATAAATATATCGGCGAGCAAAATGCCAGCAAGGGTTTAAATAGAAAAGAAGCTTTGAAAGGAGACGTGTGAACAAATATCTGCGATGGAGACGGGAAATGCAAAGCTGCGTGCTAAAGAGATGCTTTTACTGCCCGAGCGTCTCTGAACATGAATTCCTTTGTGATTTGGCTTCTGAATCAGAATAATTTTAATCATTTCAGGGTAATTACGAAGCTGTTACGGAGAGAGTGACTCGACTATTAATGCTCTCTTTTTACATCCAACCTGCTCGTAATTTCAAATCTCTGCTTTTTCTTTTTAAATCCTCGACTTTCACCGATCTGCTGCCTCTCCTCTGTCTGACCTCCTGAACCGAGAGCAGAGCCTTGCTTACATGCAGCTGTGTTTGACAGACCTCTCCCATTCTCTTTATAAAGCTCCAGGCATGGAAACCAAGGCCAGCTTCTAGCATTTGCGCTCAAGGTCACCTCAGCTCTTTGAGTACACACAGCTCCACACAAAAGGCATTTTAGCCTTTTGTGTGGAGCTGACATGTTCCTGTAATACACGAAACACACGGAAACTGTCGACTCTTCAGCTCGAGACTGACCGTGTCTGCGTTGGGTTCCTCTTTGATTCGAAGCACTGCAAATGACATAAGCTGTTATATAACGTCTGCCCAGCTGATACCTCAGCGTACACGTGCTTATCAGTCCCGTCTCCTACCTTCGTGTGTGGCGTAGAGGGCGGCAAAGGTGACAACAAAGAAGGTGGTAGAATATTTCCCAGCGTTCACCAGGTGCGGGAAGGCCCTCTTTGTGTCACGGTAACGCCTCAAGCACTGGATGAAACGCAGCCAAGCAGGCAGACACTGGATGATGGCACGGAGACCGTAGGAGTAGCTGTGGCACACGAAGTCTCGGGAACCTACAACAATATAAAACAGAGTACTGTTCACTCCAGTGTGTGTGTGATCAGGGAAAAATGAAGTCCTGGTGCAGAATTTGCTCTGTGGACACATTCTGCCAGCGTGATGATGTCACAGTCGTGCAAAATGCAGTCACAAAACTCTCCAAGGGCGTGAACTTGGTGGTGTCACGGCCGATGCGAAGATCGCCTCTTCTTTCACTCTACAACAATTTCCTCTCCATGTTACCCTTTGCACTAAGTACTCGTCATTACGAGAGTCACACGATGCCCTCTGTGTGACCAAACACTTACTTTCCATTAGCTCCAGGTTAACTGGCACATGGAGGCCAAGATATCACTCGAGTAGATGGCGATTAAAATGTCATATTTCCTCACAGGAAATCTCAACAGTCTGTCGCATTAGATGCAGAACAAATAGCACGATAACCCTGATCTGTCCATTAGCTACACTAGGCTTGTCCCTGTGCAACCAAAGGGCTTAAACATACAGACAGTGTATGTTTTTATGTTTCTACTCTGCATGCTTTTCCAGTAAACAAAAGCAGAGCATAACGCCTCACCTCCAAAGTCGGGTAACAGGCCCTTGCTGTTGCTCCACTGCAGCTCGAAGATGTAGAAGCAGAAGATATACTCCAGGTCCATGAGAGTAAACACCAGAGAGTTGAGCTGATCAGCCAGCCAGAAGTCTGCAAACTCCACCCGGTGAAACGGCGCAGTGAAAACACGAAACTGAAGAATGAAAAGACGGATGGTGAAAACAGAAAATGTGCAACAAAAACCTGAAAAATGCTTCTTGCGTTTCAGAAAACGCCCCAGCTGACCTCCCTGCAACAAACCTTAGCTGGGACGTCATGCTGAAATTACCCCGAGTCTGCGGTTCATCACCGAGACTGAATTAGCCAACAAATTATTTGCGTGCAAATCCTGCAGTACTTTACGAGGGAAGTGCAAAGCCGAGGGAGACACCTAACGCAGTGGGATAAAGCCTCCGGTCTACCTTATCAGCACGCCACAGGACGCTCTAATGAGTCATGCTTTTGTGCCTGTGCACATGAATTTGTGTATTTGCGTGCCACTAATTATTAGTGAACACAAAGACATGAAAGGAGCTGGCTGTGCTCTGCAGCCTGCTTCTACGGGCGTGTTATTTGGGATATGACTTTGGCAGGGGTTCAGTTATTGACCACGCTTTGTAAAATGATACAACCCTGCTCGACTTTTTCCATTTAACCCCCCCCCCGCGGCTACATCTGACATTCAGGAGCGAATGCACACACCCTCCCAAACCCCACATACTCTTTATTCCCTACAAATGTCACACAGTATTGATATTTTTTGTTTTTGCACATATTAGCTGATTTCTTTTAACCCGTCAGTCAAAGTCAGTATTGATCGAGTGGCCATCTCACTCATATCCACTCCGTGTGTTGTTGTCTAAAGGCTAAGCCTGCTGCACTCATGGTAACGTCTTCATTTCTTGAGCAAACACTTGTAATTCAGCTGCTAGCTCTGCAATTTGTCCTGTAATGAAATCTTATACTGTTTGTCATCAGAGGCAACATGCACACCTGACATGGATACATGTGATCTCATTACTAGTAAGAAAACACACTGTTTACTCCAATGAAACAATAATCCAACACTTCATATCTACTCTAATTCTATGCTGCCAGCATGAGTGTGCAGGACCAATCAAGAGTGAGACTGACTGTGAAGCCCAATCAGAGGAGGAGGGCTGAGGACTGCGGGGAGCTGCGAAAGAAGGGACACGAATACGAGCAGGGGGTCTTCTGCTGATGCTGGGGGACAGGTGGGGAGAAGGAGGGGGGATGAGGGGCTGAAGGAGAAGTGGAAGAAGAGGAGGAGGGAAAGGAGGAGCTCCGGGCATCAACATACTGATAGATCTATGCCTGTAATGATTGCACAGTCACAGCCTCCACCTCCCCAGAGACAAGCTGCATTCTATTATCCCTCACCCCCTGCCCTCTTTGTCACCACACACACACACACACACACACACACACACACACACACACACACACCCTCTCTCCTGAAGGCCCCTATCACAGCTTAGACAAAGGACAGAGTAACACGGGGGGCTTTGTAAACATGAGGTTTGAGATGGATATCTGAATTGTGTGAGATAGAGACGCATGCACACATGTGCGCAGACACATTTAAATCGCAGGTTAATAAAATAGAAAATGCTAGAAAAGCGGACACGGCTCAGAAACAAATTTCTAATCGGTTTTCCTTTGTTTTTATTTTAAATCTTTGTTGCGTTAGGATAATAATGCCAAAATAACACAGGAACAAAATTAATTACACCTCGTTGCCAAGAGCTTGCTACTGTGTGTTCTCTACATGTTCTCACTGGGGTTTATTGAAAGTATAGAATATTTTTTCTCTTCAGGACTTAAAACGTCTGCGTAATAAACCTTCTGTTTGCCACGGTTGTGTCTTTCTCTCCGACACTGCAAAGTGACAGCGTTCATTCCTCAGCACACACACAGAGCAGGGATCTTACACCCTCTCATCGTGTCTGCACTGGGTTCATGTTGTTAAAGCAGTCCGTATCAGCTGCTGTGTCACAGCTGTAAACATCTGTTACTGGACTTGCAGGAACCCTGACTGTTGGGATCATGCATCCACTTTGAATTACAGACTTTTCAGCAAAATACCCAGTGACTCAAGACACAACTCCCTTTAGCAAGTAAGGTACGTGGTATCTTACTATAATACACCAAATCTCTGTCTGCCTGTGCATTTGTTTCTTTGTCTGCAAACTCCTCCTACGCAGTCAGGAGTGAAGCAACCAAACACTGCTCAGAAAAATTGGAAAAATATGTGGCAATGTGTTAGGAATGAAAGGAAGCCACATTATTTGATGGAAAAGAAAATCTACTGTGGGCTGAATTCAAGACAACCCAAAAATCAAAGTGAAAACTGACGAGGCAGGTTTGCCGAGTTTGGTCAGATTTCAGCCCCCGTGTACTTTTATGCATGTCTGGCAATGTCAGGACATGATGGTGACCTGATCACTGAGATCCTGGGCAGTTTGAGCTGGGAGCATTGGATGGATGGAAACACAATGTCCCTGAGGTGATCTATTGGATTTAAGTCGAGAGAGCGTGGGGCCAGTCAATGGCATCAGTTCCTTCGTTCTCCAGGAGCTGCCTGGATGTTGTGCCCCAGGAGGAACCCAGGAGCCACTGCACCAGCGCAGGGTCTGACGATGGGTCCAAGGATTTCATCCCGATACCTGACAGCAGTCCATGTGCCTAATGCTGGCAGCAGTGACATTCCCCCCAGCTAAAGGCAAACTTACAGCAAAGCAGGAAAAACTGTCTGAGGCGCCCACCTGTGCGATCGTTCCTGTGCAGGGGGCTGTCTCATTGGTGCCCCTCTTATTAACAACCTCTGCTACTTAAGTGGCTAGATCAGTGCCCACAGGTTTAATTGACTTGATGCTAAACTCTGATTTTTACTTTAGCTTTTTTTGAGCTGTATATAGTGATGTCATCACAGACCCTGGCAACCACTTAGCAACCTGGAGCTGTTTTTTGCCTTTCTAAACCTACAACACCTTATGAAAGCAGTCTATCATTTCAGTTTCCTGACAATAGCATCTCATTTATTTCCACAAAATTTGGATTGTACCTGCCCACAAACCACCTAGCAACGGGCTAAAATGACCCTTTCAGGCACGTCATCTATCACCTCTATTTTGTTTACTTTTCTCATTGTGATTAAGCACATCAGTGTGCAATACTCTAGCATGGGCGTGGACTATTTACTATACATTAAAGGAGCATTTCCAGTAAACGAGTTAACCGACCAGCAATTTGAGGAGCCAGAAACGTGATTTGTAGTAGCAGGTCTTGAAGGGGTTGATGAGGAAGAGCACCATGAAGCCATAAAGGATGAGAGGGTTGGCCTGCATGGGGATGTAAGTGTACTGCGAGTAGAGACAGGAGAGGATGCTGAGACACCACAACACGCCCAGGAAACCAGCAATCTGCAGCACAGGAAGGAAAAAATGGCTTTAAAAGAAAGCTCCTTTGACACATGATCACCATTAACCCAAAAATCAGAATAACGAGTGAAAAGAGGTTCTGCTTTCAGTTCTGGGTTACCAACAAAACCCCGTGGACATCTAAAGCTAGTGCTTCTACTGAATCAAATCTTATTTTACATGATAATCTGTTCCTTGAATCATAATTACCCATGTAGCTAAACAACCATGTTTACTCAGGCTAAACAGTTTATGAATCCATGATTGCCACTCAGAGATTTGAGCAATTTTCCAGGATCTTCTATAAGACGAGACGTCTTTTTTCTCACCTCAAACAGGTGTTGGTGCGAGAGGTTGTTTCGTGGATTGATCTCAAAGATGAGGACGTGGTTGACTCCAGCCTGTCTCCATCCATAGGTGTTGATGCCCAACAGGAAGAGGAACTGGATCAACAGGAAACCGCCCCGATAGATCCGCACCATAGGCCAGACGTTCTCAGAGCGGAAGAACACGGCACCTAAACAAACCGCAGCATGTTTACTGCTTTATGAAGATGAACTATGACGCCGGGGAAAACAGTAACTTAGACTTACCAGTGATAACGAAGCAGATGGCAAGAATGATGAAGAAGCCACAGTAGAGACCCACGCGAAAGGTCGTCCAGGCCAAAGCAGGCTGAACCAGGCAGACAGGAATAAACCGGATTAACGTGACGACTCACACGAACACGTCCAAAGACGCTTTAGACAAAACGTCATGCAGCAATGAGTCACAGACTCTAAACCAATTTCATTCCTTTTCCCTGCTCGTAAGCATAAATATATTTATCACACACACAGGAGACACGGAGAGCTCACATGTTACACACTTTAAGCCAGACATGACAGTAATTAATGCAGGAGCAAAAGATGCATTGGAGAGCCTTGTTTTCCTCCTGAATGATATCCCGTCTGTTCAACAGAGTCGAGGCACTTATAAAATCAATACTGAAGGCTCCGATGGTTTCCTTTGTCTTTCTCTCAATCTTTCTCACCCCGCTGGCTTTATTTCTCTTTCTTTTAAAAACTGGAATGTTTTGCTTTTAATTGTATTTTTTATAGTTGGATAAATGCAAAAATATTGCATGCTGGGATATTCTTCAGCAAGCATTTCAACATTTGTTCTTCAAGAGGTGACATCTGCAACAGCACAATTACAGAACAGGGGAGGTTTAAGTGTGAGAAGCACATTCACTAGCAACTTTTGACTTAAGTAATGAAGCTTCTCTCCAAGTTCAATAAAGATGATCTTTAATCACTGATCGACCTGCTTTCCTTGAAATTCAGGCTGTTAGTCTATTCTTCACGTCCACAAACTCAACACTGACATTGTTACTCTGGTTTGATTATTTTCTTGCCCCATCTTCAGTCTCGGTTCTGTAAATATCAATGATCTTCTGCCACTTGGACTCTCGTTCGTGCTACCCTCTTCCACCTGTCCTAACCTCCAACTTCACCTTCAGCATCTACACTCTGGGGATCCTGTTCTAATCACTACTGTTGCTGGGACTCTGCTATGATGGTTCATTGGAGTCTAATTGCCAAAGAGCTCAGAAAATCAAATCCCTTAAGTCAATAAATAATGTTCAGTTTTTCTAAATGATCTCTCTTTATTGAACTGCCTTGATTATTTAAGACTAGACTCAACTAGGTGCTGGAAACATTCCTCAGAGATCTTGGTCTATATTGACAGTTGATGCATATTTGGCGTCTATATCCAGCTCTATCACATTCCAAAGGTGCTCTGATGGACTGAGATCCAGTGACTGGAGGCCATGAAGATGAGGACACTGCAGTCATAAAGGGATGGACATGGCCAGCAAGAATACTCAGGTAGGCTGGAGCTACCATGATGGCCACTTGGTGCTAAAGAAGATAGTATTCCCCACACTATTACACCACCAGCACCAGCCTGAACTGTGGATGCAAGCATGGCTCCATCCTTTCACGTCTGCTTGCATCCTGTCCAGCAGTGCCAGTCTTGTCTGGTTGTGGTGAGCCTGTGTGAACTGTAACCTCAGCAGCTGTTGTGGTCTTACGCTGTAGCCATCTGCTTCGAGGTTTGGCATGTGTGCTCAGAGATGCTCTTCTGCACAACTTGGTTGTGTTATTGTTGCCTTCAGCCTGTCAGCTCAAAGCAGTCTGGCTATTCTCCTCCGATTTCTAACATCAACAAGGCATTTTAGCCCAGATATTATCTGTAGTATATCAGATCATTCTCTGTAAACTCTACACGTGGCTGTGCAGGAAAATCCCAGCAGATCAGCAATTTTGGAAATACTCAGCCGAGCCTGTCTGGTACAAACAACTACGCCATGTTCAGAGTGACTTCATTCACCTTTGTTCCTCTATTCACCTGTTCATATAGCTGATTATGTATGAACAGGTGTGTTTCCAGTGTAATCAGCTGTGATTCTGACCTGAGCTGCCCCCAGAGGAGGAACTCTCAGCCTCTTCATGGCCCTTTGACGATCGCCTCCCTCCAGCTCTGTGGTCACCAGGGTCTGGATACAAAAACAACCATTCGTTTCAGACATGTTCGTTTTTTCTACACACGTCTGACATGTAGTAAAGTCCACGTGTGGCAGGCAGGCACCTCCGTCTCAGTAATGAGCTGTGTGATCTTCTTGCAGGTGTAGAAAGGTGCCACCTCCACATGAGCCACACGCCAGTCTGCCCCGCGGGAAGTATCCAGGATCTTGTCATGTTTCTTCAGGATCTTACGGAAACCAGTGAAGTTCAGGTTCTGTGGGAGACAAGAAGAAACCAGCAGCTACAGACCACACCAGACTGGAAAGGATATGTAGTCTGATCAAACGACTGCAGGTGACATAAAGCGATCAACCTCTCGTGATCTGAGTGTGTAGATGCACTAAAAACCTGGTAGTTCTGAAGCAGGATGAGGCTGAGGTAGAACTCGCTGAAGGCTAGCTTCAGGTCTTTGATGTTGTGGTGTTTGCAGCGCTCCTCCTGCGACAGGTGGAACCTGGTCTTGCGTTTCCGCAGACCGGGCGAAGCATTGCTCTCTCGCTGAGCGTCCAGTGAAGACTGCAGCTCGTTCTGCAGCGTCGCAAATCGTCTCTGGGCCTCGGCAAGCTTCTCTGCAGAAGGACAATGAAAGGATGTCACATACATCTCACATACTGTGCTGTGGACACACACACGTTTACACATGTTTACACTTGCACAGCACAACTTCCAGTTTTATCTACTGTTAAGCGTGTTGATTGTTATTATAGCCACTGTGTATTTGCACATATTATAATGAATATTATACATTTTAGAGGATGTTTAGAGTAATACAAAAATAATAAAGGTCCTAATAAGCCCAGTGGAGCTGTTAAAAAACAAGTTGTTGGTTTGCTTGGACCTTTATTTTGGAAATTTTAATATTATTCCTGCATTTGCGTAAAATTAGAGCCTTTACTTTGGTCATTTGTGCTTAACCTCGATATTGTTAAAATGCAAAAAACTGCTGCAGCAAATAACAATAAAAATGATTCTTTATTTCTGCTTGTTCCAGGAAGCAGAAGCATGGAGACTCTTAGGCTGACCTGTGAATGCTGCTGACTGAGGAAGCATTATCTGGGTCAGAGATAGGTTAATACAGCCAGAGAGACAGAATGAGAGAGGAGGGGTAATCACACGCTGCTTGGACAGCAACCTGCATTTCATTAACTTCTCCTGCAGTTCAACTCACTTTTCCAACAAGCAGCTCTCATTTTCCTCCTGCTCTTTGTTTAAATGGTGAATGACTGGTTCTTATACGGCGCTTTGTCTGCTTTCTGTCTCACGTCCACAGCACGTCGAATGCATCGTGAGCAACTCGGGGTTCAGCAACTTGCTCAAGGACACTTGGGATGCAGACCGGAGAACCCAGGGAACCACCAGCCTTGTGATTAGCAGATGACCTGCTCTATATGCTGAACCACAGCCACCCGAAACAGGTCAGAATAACTAATCATTTGGGCCTGCTCTGATGTGAACCGGTGTTTGGTGTCCTCCCAAACCTACAAGGTTCTTTTCAAAGCCACCTACTCTCTGTAGCAGGCCAATAAGACCTGCAGCCCCTCTTTTTCCCTTTTCTTTGCTGTTTCCTGCTCCGTTCACATGGTAGTATTTCTTGTTTGTGTGCAAACATACATTTTCCTGCATCCGGCTGGTTTGTGGAACAACCTGTTTCAAAAAAAGAATAACTAATCATTAATAAATGAAGCCAGTTTCTTCTCATTTAACTTCCTGTTTTCTTCATTTTCTTCAATGTATTTGAATAAAACTCTTTTTCAAACTGAAAATAGAAGTAAAGCTAACATCTGTTTATCATTGTTTGCACGTAGATGGCAGCTTAGTGGCCTGGTTTCCATTACATCCTCATGCTCGTCAATCCAAAAGTAGAATGACACAATTTCTTTGTCGACATAAACAATGTTTTCAGGGTATATTACTACAACCCTGAGTATTTCTTTTTCTACACAAGAGTGGAACCCGCCCGACAAAGATTTTTCCTCTTTATGCTATTCGATGTCACATCGTGGGAAAGCGCAAACTTTGCTTCGACATCCAAACTCGCAGTAATCCCTCAACAGGCACAGAAGCATACGAACCAATGCTCCACTTAATGCTCGTGAGAAAGTCAGACTGCCTTGAGGTCAAGAGTGCAGCATCACATTAGAAGATGTGGCTGGACAGTTCATCTGTGTGGGGCTAATGAAGCTGAAAGAGACAGGTGTTGGTTGGTTTAGGTTTCAGCGGCGTTGGCTTTACTGTGGTGGTGTTTTCAAACACCTTTTGTTCTTTCTCAGCTTCCAGAAAGTGACAGGGTGAAATCCTATCAGCCTAAAACAGCATTTCTTCATTTCTTTTTGTTGTGTATTTAATTCACGATGATGAAAGTGTTGTTGTCCAACAGACTGGATTCTAGCGCTTTGCAGCAGGATGGCTGTGAGAGGTCAGGGACCCCTTTCAGAGGGAGAAAGAGCTCAGTCGAGGCAAGTGTCTTA